CTCTTTATTTCTTACTTTTTTTTTTAATGCTTCTTGAGTGCTTAATTATTTGTTTCTTTTTACCTACTCGCTTTGTTTCATCATTATTGGCAATTTCTTCTTCTTCTTTTTATGCTTTTCTTTCCTCTTTGAATTGGCCTTGTTCAGTGATGAACATATTAAAAACCGGAGATAATGTGTTTTTTCGTCATCCAGAACACTCCTGGCTGTGTGGCGTTATCGAAAGTATCGCAGAAGGCGGAATCGTTTGTGCCACAAAGGATCCGTTGAGAAAGGAAGTCATTCAAAACGAATTGATTACAGTAAGAAATCCGGAAGACGTAGAGCCGCTTCATGGAGATTCCCTTAATGACGCACCAGACGACTTACTTAAGCTTACCGTTCTTCACGAAGCACCTCTACTCAGGTGCCTCTACATGCGCTACATGAATGATGTGGTCTATACTAATATCGGTGCAATAGTGGTGGCCTTAAATCCGTTTACTTTTGCTATTCCATGGTATCAGGATAGTCAACTTTATAAATATTTGCATGCAGGGCGTAATCTGAATAGTTCCAATATGCCCTCAAACTTGATGCCACATGCGTGGACTCAAGCACACGTCACGTACTATGACATGGTGGATAGCAATGAAAACCAATGTATTGTCGTTTCTGGTGAATCTGGGGCTGGGAAAACGGAGGCAACAAAGATCGTCTTAAAGTACTTGGGTATCGTGTCATCACTGAGTGGGACAAAAAAAGAACAAGAAGCTGCGTTATACGTAGGAAGAAGGTTGGTTGCTTGTTCACCTATTTTGGAGTGCTTTGGAAATGCAAAAACGGTGAGAAACGACAATAGCTCTCGATTTGGTAAATTTATGAGGGTAAAGTTCAACGGCAAACATCTTATTGCTGGAGCTGAAACAATCAAGTACCTTCTTGAAAAAAGTCGGATCGTGTCTGCTGCTCAAGGCGAGCGAGTATATCATTCATTTTATCTCTTAGCTCGCGCGCAGGCTAGCATGGCGCGTGTTCTTGGTCTCGGGTATGAGAAGGAATATGCTTCACTTTCTTCAGGGGGCACAATGAACAACTCTAAGTACAACACTGAAAATGACTTTAACGATGTCTGTGAGGCTATGCGTTTGATTGGGATGACAGAAGTTGAACTTACATCTGTCTGGCGTGTTACAGCGGCTGTCATGACATTGCTTAATATTCGCTTTCTTCCAGAAGGTGATGGCTGTTCTATTGATTCAAAAACAATGAAATATCTTAGGAAGGCTATTCAACTGCTCGATATAAATGAAGATGGTTTGGTTCATGAGTTTCTCACTAGCACTCGTGTTCTTCCTGACAATGAATTTGCCTTAAAGGCAAATGACGTTGCGGCAGCCGTCGATATTCGTGATGCTATGTGTAAACATTTGTATGATGGTTTATTTGGTTGGATTGTGGATCGATGCAATGACTTGTGTAATGTGGAGAACGATTGTAATTGGATTGGGTTGCTGGATATTTTTGGATTTGAGAACTTTAAGGTCAACTCCTTTGAACAACTTTGCATCAATCTGACGAATGAGCACCTTCAGTACCACTATAACTTGCATATATTTAAGCGTGATATGGATGAGTGTAGAATGGAAGGAGTTGATGTGACGAGGATTAAGTTTTCCGACAACGCCGGCTGCTTAAGGATGCTTACTGCACAGGGTGGTGTCTTTCCCATTCTAGATGAATATTGTTGGCTTGGTGGTGGAACAGAGCTTGGATTTTTGGAAAAAGTGGTGCATACGCATGAAGCAAACACATTTTTCAAAAAACAACTTGTCTCTGGCGAAACTTTTTGTGTGCGTCACTATGCGGCGGAGGTCACGTATAATGTCATGGGTTGGATTGAGAAAAATCGGGACAATCTCAAAGACTCCATCAAGTCGCTTGTACGAGGTAGTGGAAATAGTGTCATTGCGCGCTGCCTTCCAGCGCCCATTCCCTTATCGGAGCGAAAAAAAGGAGGAAGTAGTTTTACAGTGAGTGGATTCTTCCGTACTCAGTTGACGGCGCTTATGGACTTGATTAGCAGCAGCAATCCCCACTGGATTCGCTGCATTAAGCCCCATCCTGGTAAAAAACCCAGAATGTTTCACGGTAGAGAAGTCATGAATCAATTGGAGTCCAGTGGTGTTCTTGGCACCGTGAAGATTCGAAAAGCCGGATACCCAGTACGTGTTCCGCGGGATTTCTTCTGTCGAAAATATCGAATGTGCACCTCCGTAGGTGCAACAGACGAAAAGGTATTTATACAAAATGTACTTCACCTGGCGTGTATACACACGCCTGCCCAGGCTCAAATAGGCAAAGGCAAGGTATTTCTGACCGCAGAGGCTTTTAACCTACTGGAAAAGGTGAGGGACCAACATTTGCTCAGTACAGCATTGATTCTTCAGCGGGTCGCCCGCGGATGCCTCGCGCGAGCTACAGTTTATAACTTGTTTGCCGTGTTTCCCAAGGCTGAACTCACCCGGCAAAAGTTGGAGAGTGTCACGAGAGACTTACATGGGAAGGAGGCACACCTTCGACGTTTATGCGAGATTCAGGAAGACGAAGCGTGGAACGCATTAAAAAAACTAGAAGGCAAAGGACGACTTTACCAAGAGGCGATCGAAGCTGCAAAACGGGATCGTCGTCGTCTAGAAGAAAAGGAGCGTCGAAAAGTCAAGGAGGAGGAACATCGACGACTTGAAGAGGCGAGGTGTTTGAGAGAAATGCGCCACAGAGCTGCTGTTTGTATTCAACGCTACGTCAGAGGAGCTCTTCTGCGCATTCGCTTGTATCGAGAACTCTTGGAGAAGTGGCGTGCGGCTTTGGAATCGGGGAGTGAGCTGGCGTGTGAGACAGAGCGAGCCGAAGTACGGGCCCTTGACAGCGAGCGTGCTGTCGATGAAAAGTCTTGGGTGCAGTGGCTTAACACCATGGACTACCTTAGGCGCAAGAAACAACAGGACGAACTAAGGTTGCTTGAGAAGACGTCACAGAAGACGCGTATTCGGATTCGTGAATTATTGCGCAGGGAGGATCAAATGCGGCTAAGGCTTGAGGTTGACGAAAGTGACTCACGTTTTGCGTTGCTTTCGCACCATCAAAACCTTATTGCTCATTACCTGAAGGCGGAAGATGAGCGACGGCGACGGGCGAATAAGTTGAAAACAAAAAGCACGGGGACATTTCGGCCACAGCCCAAGGGAATACAAGCCAGGGCTGAGAGAAGTGCGGCCTCTGACGCACGCATTCAAAAAGCACTTGCCGAGTATGCGCTTTCTCGGGCTCGTTCAGACGGTGAAAAAGAAGCGCGTCAAAACACTGGTGCCGCACCAGATTGTCTTTCACCAAAGGCTTCTACGGAAAGTCGTATTTTTAGGCAGTTGCAGAAAAAGTGGCTCCGACAGCAGGAATGGATAAATCTCAGAGATGTGGGTCAAACAGCAGAGAATCATTCCAGGTTGTCCATGGTGCCAAATTCAGACGACAGTGGGCTTAGTGGCCCGTATCGAACGATTGAGGCTTCATTGCATTCCTTGTCACCATCGAGGCACGGATCTTCCAATTCTACGCGGATTTCGATGAGTAGGCTAGATGGCAGGAGTAAAGCGGAGCCTTCTCAATTCTTGTATGAAACCGAATGTGGAAGGAATAGCAAAAGCAATTCTATTGATTGGGATAACGTGTTTGGAGCCTAGCACCAGTGCTATTTCCGTGTAGAATATATGCTTTTCTTTATGGTTTCCGTTATATTCCTTCTATTTGTTATCGTGCTTTTTATTAGGTTCTTGTGTTCTTGCTTTTATGCCGTTTGTATCTGGCTTTTCGTGTAGTCACCCAGGTGCGGTAGTCTGCTTGTGTAGGGTTGTGTGCCCGCAACGGCGCCTCCGTGCGTTTTGCGTCGGATAGGAGTGAGAGAGATGGATGATTGGGGTTGTTGTGGCTTGCGCGTGCCTCTCTAGATGCTTTCTTTTTTTTTTTATTGTTTCCCCCTTTTTCGGGGTTTGTGTTTTGTTCATGCATCGTCCCTCCCCAACCCTGTGCGGGAAGTGATTACAGCTGTCAATGGCCAATTGCTACCCCATCTTGGTGCTCCCCTGCAAAAGGGGCGGTATTCCGTGTCTGACGCCGGATCAGGCGAGGGCGATTGTCAAGCAGGAAGAGCGGGTGATAAGTGTATCCATCTTCGACGCAAGCGAATATGTGGAGCCCTGCAAACGGGCAAATCAAGGATTCGCAGAATTCTGTGGACTGGGGGACTATACTACCATTCTCACTGTGCGTAGTCCCCACATTGGCATGCACGCCAGTGCCCCGGCGACGGAGGCAGGATTGTCTGCGAATCATGAAAAGGGCCGCATTTCTTTGGGTATGGAAAAATGGAAGGAAATGGTTCTGTCGCTTCGCCCAACAATAGCCATTACCCCATATGATTCTGTTTCAATTCATGAGCCGCAGGTAAAGCGCCGACGGACGGCGGTGGGCCGTTCAGTGAAATGGGCATTGTCCGCAGACTCCTTTTGTACCCAGGGTAACTGGAAGTTAATGAAACCTGTATGCGCTGTGGAAGAGAAAGATAAGTATATTTTCATGGAGGAACTTTGCCAAAATGAGACGTTACAGGAGTATACCGAACACGTAAAAGAGGCCGTCAAGAAAGGGCAGGTGATGTGTACCGCCATTTCTCTACCAGCCGTACTCATGTGTTTGAGAGCTAATGTGTGCTTTATCGAGTGTGCACTCCCATGGATATTGGCAGAGAAGGGAATAGGCCTGGTGTTTGATCTATGTCCAGTGGAGGGTGTGTCTCCCACACGGTATGAAACACAGATAGACTTGAATGATGACTGCTTCACGGAAGATATTCGACCTCTTTCGCCAGACTGCAACTGTTACACCTGTAGACGTCATATGCGTGCATATATTCATCACCTCCTTACAGTGCAGGAGATGAATAGTAAGACACTTCTGTTGATACATAACTTGACACGGTTAATTCAGTTGTTGCGGTTGTATCGACTCTCAGGAGCAGAGGATCGTGCGGCGTTGCTCAATTGGCTCCTCGCACAAATTTGATGCCCGCATACTTTACATATGTGCGTTAATGTGATGGGAATTGTTTTTTTTATTTTTATTTTTATTTTTTTTCAACCTCCACCCTCTTTTTTTTCCGTGGAGAATGGGGTGCCTGTATCTCTCTGCGAGAAGGACTTTGCGATTTTCCTGGTTGCGTCATGGTCGTTGCTTTTTATTATTGTTGTTGTGTGTTTCTTGCCGCCCATCTGTGTTCTGCCTCGGGAGAAGCCCACTCTTCAGTTTGGCGTACGAATGAATGGGCACGAAACGACAACGGGAAGAGGGGGAGGATGGGAGTGAAAAGTGCCGCGTGTACTTTTCTTACGGTGACTGGAACGCCCTTGTGACGCTGTACAGGCCATTGGCCTTTGATACGTTAGATCCGGAAACTTTTCCGGGACTCACTTTCTTCTTTGCACCACGTGTGGTTGGCGTAATGAATGGTCACTACGTGCTTTCCCTTAACGGCGTGAACCGACCGTGTGACCATCTGCTTAGGCAACGGCCATGGCTTCCCTGCAGCTACCACGGACCTTTCCGATGCTCCTGTCATGCCTTGGAACAAATTGCACGTGGGGTGCGACAGCTGGAGCGAGAATTAACGTTTTTACCAAGGCGTCTTGCGCTGCGGGTGACTAAGGCGGGCAAACACGAGACAGCACCGTTTATCTACATGGACAACTTAACACGTGCAGCCACTATTTGCCTCTGCGGTCTTCCTCTACCACAGACTGTGCTTGGCCCAATGACACTGTGTCTGTTGGACGATGAGTATTCAATTGCCCGGGCGATATCGTCTGCCTTCAGCGAGAGCCACCGGAAAATGAATGCGGGGACAAAATGCGTCCTCTGCGCAGCTGAAACAGATAGAACCTGTAGTGTATGCGGGTGTTGGGTGTGTGCAAAGTGCGACATCCAATGCTGCTCATGCGGAAAGAATGCCTGTAAGGCGTGTGTTGTGAATATTGAAGAAATACCGACAAAAGAAGAAGAATACTGCCTTAATTGTTACTCTTTGTAGCGACACCGTTTCATACAGCTTGACGTTGGCAAAATATGATGTTTTTCTCGCGGCACTGGTTTCCCACTTCGGGTTGTTTGCATCACGGTTCAAGTGGGTGCTGGGCTGCTTTGGGGGTGCCTATTTCCTTTTTTCCTCAATTTGCGTGTCCGTGCGTGCGTGCGCTGGCGTTTTCTTCTCTCCGAGGCCTAGTTGGCTGCCACCCTGCCTGGTGTGTACGCATTCTGTCACTGTTTTTCTCCCCTGGCTTGTGCCTCTCCCTCTCTCTCTCTCTTCCTTTCCTTCGCTGTCGTGAGGCTTACTGCAGTGTGGAGGTTCAAGGCACTTCAAACAAGGCTAACAACATGACTGACTCCGCGGAATCGCCCCCTTCCAGACCCCTGTTTGGAAATGTCCTTAGTCCCAAACGGGACACTGAGGGCGGTGAGGCCCCAAAGCAACTGGGATTCTTAAAACGCACTGCAGAAAGGGTGATTCCTTATGGTGGGCTTATCTCCGGTGTTTTTAACCTCGCCGCCGGCAGTCTGGGTGCGGGCATTCTTGGTATGCCCTCCGCATTCGACGCTTCCGGTATTGTGTTGGCCACAGTTTATTTACTCGCCATCTACCTCTTCACAGTGCTGTCCATGTATCTGTTGGCAATTACGGCCACAAAGACCGGCATTCGCGGCTACGAGAAGACGGGTGGCCAGCTGCTTGGGCGCGGCGGAGACATTTTTGTTGCGGTGGTCATGTTTTTAAGTGCTTTGGTGCGTGTATCGCGTACGCCATCTC